TAAACCCTAAACCCTAAACCCTCACTGAGCTTGTTGTGGCGGGCCACCCAAGAACCCTGGGGTTTTATGACTGCCACAAACCCCGAAAAGTTCGGAGAAGTGCAACTCAAAACCCTACTTCTGTCTCCGTCGATTTGCAGCCAGGGGCAGTTCGGACAGCCCTCGTCGTAAAACTGCAGCCAAACCCTAAACCCTAAACCCTAAACCCTAAACCCTAAACCCTAAACCCTAAACCATGAACCCTAAACCCTCGACGCGCCCCGCGACAGGCGCGTCCCCACAGACGCACTCAACTCGGCAAACCCTCGCCCTGTAGTGGAACTGACAAACCCCAAACCCCAAACCCCAAACCTTCCCCCCCAAACCCTAAACCCTAAACCCCAAACCCTAAACCCTAAACCCTAAACCCTAACTGCTGCTGTTCGGCCATGACGCGTCTGCAGCTGCTGCAGGCCCTCAACCCGAGTTCGCAGCCGCGCCACCCCCGCCCCCCGCACCCCCAAACCCCAAACCCTAAACCCCAAACCCTAAACCCTAAACCCTAAACCCTAAACCCTAAACCCTACCTGCTGCTCGGCCATGACGAGTCTGCAGCTGATGCAGGCCCTCAACTTGAGTTCGATTTTCTCGCGATCTCCTCCGTCTTTGTTTTTGAACTTTTTGATAAACCCTAATGGCACAATTGCTGCCAAGTCCTTTTCCGCCAAACCCTCGCGGCCCTCCTCGCCGCTCAAACCCTCCGAGTCCATCCCAAACCCTAAACCCTAAACCCTAAACCCTAAACCCTAGGCCCGGCCGCGCGGCGGCCGCCCACGCCCAAACCCTAAACCCTAAACCCTTCCTGGGCTCCGAAAACCTCCCGCGCCTGCAGCAGCACGCGCCACGATCTTGCTGCTGCGGTTGCTGCTGCTGCTGCTGCTGCTGCTGCTGTTGCTGCTGCTGCTGCTGCTGCTGCTGCAGAAGATTGTAGAAAAAACAAAAATTCAAAACTAGAAGCTGCTGCAGCAAACCAAAACGGCACCGCAGCTGCAGCAGGGGGCCCCGGGGGCCCCCTGCAGCAAGCCCCAGCAGCGCAGGGGGCCCGCTGCATGCTGGGCTGGCTTAGGGTTTAGGGTTTAGGGTTTAGGGTTTAGGGTTTAGGGTTTAGGGCTTAGAGTTTAGGGTGTTGTTACTTGGAGTCCGCGCTTTTCGCAGTGGCAGCTTCTCCACCGCCCACAGGCTCCCGGAACCGCCACCCGAGGGTTTAGAGTTTAGGGTTTAGGGTTTAGGGTTTAGGGTTTAGGGTTTGGCAATGGCGCAGCTCTACGGAGAAGACTCCGACTTCTGGACAGAAGGAGACAGCAGCGAGGGGGTCACTTCTGACGAAGAGACGGGGGGCCCCCTGGGGGCCCCCGGGGGCCCCCTGGGGGCCCCTGGGGGCCCCGGGGGCCCCCCGGGGGCCCCCGTGCTGCCGCCAGTACCCTCTTTTATACCCTCTCCTTTGGCTGTGCCCCCGGTGTCTGCGGAGACTCTTGAGGAGCTGAAGCAGCTGAAGGAGCTTGCTGCAGCAGCAGCGGCTCCCGGCAGCAGCAGCAGCGAGCAGCAGCAGCAGCAGCAGCAGCAGCAGCAGCAGCAGCAGCCGCAGGTCGTTGGCCCTGACACGTGGGACTCGGCAGCAGACGAGGGCGAGGGCCTGAACTTCTTCCCGCAGCAGCAGCAGCAGCAGCAGGAGCAGCAGCAGCTGGGCGGGCGTGAGGCTGCCGCTGCAGAGCAGCAGCAGCAGCAGCAGCAGCAGCAGCAGGTGCTGCTGCCGCTAGACTTGCTGCTGGATGACCTGGGGGGGCCCCCCCCAGCCCCCAAGTTTAAAGTGACTTTTACTTTAATGGAAGAAGTCCCTTTGGAGATAAACCCTAACCCGTCCTTGCCAGCAGCAATAGAGTGTGGGCCCCCCGAGTTTGCTGCTGCTGCTGCTGCGCAGCGCAGCAGCAGCAGCAGCAGCAGCAGCAGCAGCGCAGCAGCAGCAGCGGGAGAGGAGCCCCCAAAGCCCAGGCCGAAGCCCATTCGAAAGAAATGGTGCATTGAAGACACAGCAGATGTTACTTTTTTTCGAAGGACTTTGCGGAAGATTCGGCGAGAAAGAGCTGCTGCTGCTGCTGCTGCTGCTGCGGCCCGGCAGCAGCAGCAGCAGCAGCAGCAGCAGCAGCAGGGCAGCAGCAGCGACGCCCTCGAGAGCCTCTTCAGGGCCGAGCTGGCGCCGCCGCCCGACGAGGCAGCAGCAGCAGCAGCAGCTGCTGCTGCTGCAGCCCCTGCTGCTGCTGCAGAAGCCGCCGAAACCGCTGCAGCAGCAGCAGCAGCAGCAGCAGCAGCAGCAGCAGCAGCAGAAGAAGCAGCAGCAACGCAAGACTTGTCTCCTGAAGAAGAACCCCTCGCCATTGAGTTTGGATTCCCTTTAGATGACTTTCAAAAAAGGGCCATTTTGAGGTTGGAAAAAAACCAGTGTGTCTTCGTCGCAGCCCATACCAGCGCAGGTTAGGGTTTAGGGTTTAGGGTTTAGGGTTTAGGGTTTAGGGTTTGGGGTTTGGGGTTTGGGGGAGGGAATCTGCGCCTTGGGGGCGGTATCGGGGCTCTCTACTAAGGGCTGCGCCTCAGCGCTCACGTGGAAGCGCGCGGGCGGTTTAGGGTTTAGGGTTTAGGGTTTAGGGTTTAGGGTTTAATGGTTGCGGCTTGGGGTTTAGGATGTGGGGCTCTGGTTTCAGGCTTCGGGCTTTGGGGTTTAGGGTTTAGGGTTTTGCGTTGAGGGTTGAGGGCTGGGGGCTAGGCGTTTAGGGTTTAGGGTTTAGGGTTTAGGGTTTAGGGTTTAGGGTTTAGGGTTTAGGGTTTAGGGTTTAGGGTTTGCGCAGGCAAGACGGTGGTGGCTGAGTACGCAATTGCGCTGGCGCTGCAGCGGCGGCGGCGCTGCATTTTCACTTCTCCTTTAAAAGCTTTATCAAATCAAAAGTACAGAGACTTCAAGCAGAAGTTTGTTTCCGTAAACCCTAAACCCTAAACCCTAAACCCTAAACCCTAAACCCTACGTGGTGTGGTCTTCACCGTGGTGTTTGGCCGTCTCTCGCGCCGGGTGCTGCGGCTGAGCAGGGTTTGAGGATTAGGGTTTAGGGTTTAGGGTTTAGGGTTTAGGGTTTGTGCAGGTAGGGTTGATAACGGGGGACATCTGCATCAACCCTGGCGCGGCTTGTCTGATTGTCACTACCGAAATCTTGAGAAGTTTGTTGTTCAGGTAAGCTAGGGTTTAGGGTTTAGGGTTTAGGGTTT